TCCATCTGCTCATCGCAAGTAGAAACACAAAGTAGAGTGCATCTTCCTTAAGAGGGGTGGTTTGTAGATCTAGTGATATTTCAAGAAACAAGACACGTCGTTTGACCTCGTTGGAATTAGTGCGTCGTAGAAATGGCTGCGCTGTAGAAAGCCGCATCGTTGCAGAAATTGCGTCGTATTAAAGTCTGAGTGTGCTTCACTTTGACCTAGTTTGATTTTGAGGCTTCCTCCTTCACGTCTACTCGTTTTCCTCTGTGTTAATCCTTGGATTTTAATTCTTTGTTCTTTGCTCTTCTCTTTTGGTGTTCGCTTGTCGCACTTCAATTTTTGCTCTTATCTTACCCTCTCGCCTTAATTCCACATCGTTTGTAATCATTCGATCCTTCTTTTATCACCTTTCTTTCTTTTCCCTATTCCTCACACCATTTCCTTGTCATTATTTCTTCATTCCCAATTCCTTATCGCAATTCATTCTCCCTTCTTCTGATCATTTCGAATTTTTGTCCTTTGTCCCCTCGATCTCCTCGGTCTTCTCGGTGCATCCTCTTTCATTTCGTCTCTCTTCTTTTGCGTACTTAGTTCTCCTCTCTTGGCTCTCCCTATTATCCTTTCTTTGACTCTCCCTTTGTCCTTTTGTTCTTGTTCCCAGTCGCTCTTTTCGCCATTTTCCTCACTCATTCTCAATTCTTCAATATTTCTTATCCTATTATCCTTCCTCTTTCCTGATTCTTCGATTCTTCCTTCATCATCATTCCTTTTTTCCTTCATCCTTCTCCTATTTACTTTTTTTTATTATTTTTCCTTTCTCTTTTCATGTGGCCTTTCCACCTTCCTCTAACGTTACCTATATATTCTTTATTATCCCTTTTTTTATTCTTTGATATAGTACTTCGTCCTTTGGTCTTGTTCTTCTTTCATTTCCCTTCGTCTCATTATTTCGACTTTATTTTAATTTTCCTCATTTGTCCTACTTTATACTTTTTCGTCTTCATCCTCTTCCTTCCTTGCTTCCTTGTTCTCCGATTTGGCACATCGTTCCTCATTTCGCTCTACTTGTTCTCATTCCCTCCTTCCTGTGTCTTCGGCCCTCTCACCTAGCACCTAGGTCATCTTTCTTCTTCACTTTTTTCCCAATTCTCTTTCTTTTCCTTCTTTATTTCTTTATGCGCTTTTCTATACCTTCTTCCGAACGCCCATTTTCCGTTTTCCATTTTTTTTTGTTCTTCTGGTCATCACATGTTCTGTTTTAAACTTACCCCTAAATTTCACCCCCTTTGCATCATTTCGACTTTGTTCCCATTTTCCTCTTCCATTCTCTGTCTTTTCTACTTCTCTTGTCCTACTTCATATCTTTTCGTCTTCCCCCTTTTTCATCCTTGGCCGTTCTTTCGTTGCTATTCTCCCTTACTTCTTATTTTCTGCATCTGTTCTCTTCCTTCATTGTGTCTTCATACGCTTTTCTATACGAATTTGCATCACTTCTGTGTTTCCCGTGATTCTTCATTTATCTTCTCTTATTTTCAATTCCCCTTTGCCGCCTTTCTGTTTGCTTGATTCTTTCTATAATTCTTGCCCCATACTTCATTTTGTTTCATCCTCCTTGAACATATCTTCTTCCTTATACGTTTTCATTATTTACTACTCCTGTTTTCAATATCGCCCTTCGCTCTTTCATCTTCCATTTTTCTGTTCATTTCCATGATTTTGATTAGTTCGTCTTTTTTCTTCTCCTCTGTCATGCTTCCCCATTCGCTCTCACTCATGCCCTGATCTTGTCTCTTTTAGTTGCTCGTTTTTTCTCTCCATGTTCAGACATCGTTTTTCATTCTTCTCTTTCCTTTTCCCTCTTTTTTGTCTTTGGTTCTCTTTTGCACATCACCCACCTTTTTCACTTTATTCCCTTTCTTCCATATATATTTTTTTCCTTTTTCATTGTTATTTATTCCGCTCTGCCATATGTTCCTCCTTCTCATCCTCTTCTTTTTTCTTTTTTATTCTTCTGAATCCAAACATTACGGTATCCTTAAGCTCATTACAACGTCCATGAAGCAATGAAATTACAAAATATCGACTCCTTAAGCTTTGTGGTCCGAAACCTCTGACTAGAAATTGCTTGTGTACACTCATTACGTATCCTTTATTTCATTCCTTGTCCTTTTCCTTTCGGTACTCTTTTCTTTTTTACCGCTCCTTTCACTTAGCACTTCGATATCTATTCTGCGCCTCTCCTTCTTCCCTGTTTCCCCTTTCATTTCCTTTTTTCTACTCATCTTCTTACTTTTATCTTCTTTCCCTTTTTATTGATCCTTCTCCCCTCCCCTTTTCCCCCTTTAATTGCAGCCTTTCCTTTTCTCCCCCTTATTTCTTCATTTTCTTCTTTCCAGCCTTCTTGTTCTTCCTCCGTAGATCTCTTCCCGTTGATGGATTTAATTTTCAGTCCTTCTCCTTCATACGTACTCATTTTCCTCTTTATTAATCCCTGACTTTTCTATCTTTGTTCTTTGCTCTTCCTTCATAATCATTCGGCCCTCCTTCTATCATCATTCTTTCTTTTCCCTACTCCTCACGCCATTTCTTTGTCATTGTTTCTTCAGTCTCCTTTGCTTATCGTCATTCGTCCTCCCATTTTCCTTTTTTCTTCTCGTCATGTTTTGATCTTCATCTCACTCGATTTCCCTGTATTTCCGGTATATTCATATCCTCTTCTTTCGCCTCCCTTCTTTGGCATTCTCACATCTTCTTTCTTCGTTCGTTGCTCGTCTCTCTTGATTCGCTATTCCGTTTTCGATTTACTATTGCCGTACTTTTCTTCTTGTTCCCAGTCGCTCATTTCTCCTTCTTCCTACCTCATTCTGTTTAGATATTTTTTTCTCCTTCCTCTTTCCTGTTTTTTTTCGATTCACGTTCCTTACTTTATTTCTTCATCCTTCTTCTGCATATATTTATACCTGTTCTCTTTTCATATCGTCTTTACACCTTCCTATTTCTTCGTTCGTTTTTCATCTTCCTGTTATTTTATCTTCCTCCTGCTTACAGCTCTTTATTCATTCTTCGAACTCATTTTATTCTGGCATATCTTCTCCCTCCTTGCTTCTCACGCGACCTTTATATTCGCCCTTATCCCTTTTTCCATTTTTATCATTATTTTAACTTTGTTTTCATTTTCCTCTTCAATATCCTATGATTTCTTCTTCCTCGTTTGCCTTTCGTCACATCTCTTCGTCTTCCCCTTTTTCATACTTGGCTCTTCGTTCCTTGCTATTCTATTTTAGTTCCTCATTCTTTGTCGTTCTCCCATTGCTTTTTGCACATCCTTTCTCATTTTCTTTGCTTGTCCTCATTTCCTGTGAGTTTGACTCTCTCCCCTACATCATCGGTCTTTCTCATCTTTTCCTTTTTTTCTTTGCTCTCTGTTCATTGTATTTCTTCCTACGCCTTTCCGTAACTTGCTCCGTTCTTCCGTGTTCCCCATCAATGCCCCTCTACTTCCCGATTTATTCCTCTTTTCTCTTCACATTTATCTTTTACATTTGGTATTGTTCGTCGTTTTCCTTCTCTTGTTTTCTTTATGCATCTTCACCTTACCTCCCTTCCGTTTCCTTTATTCTCTCTATCATTCTTCCTTCATCTTCACTCTACTCTCGCAATTCCTTTGTTGATTCTTTAGTGCTTTTTTCTGATTCCCAGTCGCTCATTTTCCTCTCTTCCCACCTGATTTCCGATTCTTAGACATTTTTGCTTCCTCTTTCCTGTTTCATCCGATACTTCCGTCTACATAATATTATATTCATCTTTGTCCTTTCTTCATTATTTTTTCCTTCCTATTTTCATATTGTCTTTCCACCTTCCCCTTTCTTCCACTTACTTTACCTTCCTGGTCTTATCTTTCATTTTCATTATTTCGATCTTTATTCTTTTTTTTTCTTCAATTTCCTGTACTTCCTCCTTTCTCATGTGCCCTACTTCACATTTTTTTGTTTTCCTCGTTTTTCACCTTTTCCTCTTCGCTCCATGCCATTGTACCCGACTTCCTTGCTTTTTGCCCTCCCCGTTCGCTTTTTGCACATCCTTCCTCATTGTTTTCTGTTTTTTGTCGATCTTCATTTCGTCCTACCTGGACCTGCGACTTCCTCTTCTCTCCTTCTTTGCTCTTCCTTCGTTATTTCTTCTTACGCTTTTCCCCCTTTCCCCATGTCTTTATTTTTCATTGTATTTTATTACCGTCTTCTATATATTCTATCTTCCTTCCTCTTTTTTCGTCTTCTGGTTGTTTCGTTGTTATCTTGACTTTCACCTTCCGTCTGCCTCTACCGTCCGGTTTGCTCTTGCTTGTTCCTCCGCATTCATCCTCTTCTTTGTGTTGGTTAGCGGCTCTTCCTTATTTGCCCTCCTTTGTCTTTTCTCCCCTTTAATCTCCAACTTGGCGATTTATCCTCTTTTTTCCCTACATTGTTTCTTTCTTGTGTATCGTTCGTCCTTTTCTTTTACCTCAGTTCCTCTTTTCTGCTTCTCCCAATTCTTACCTGATACTTCTTCTCGTTCACCCTTCCTCGTTCTTCTTTTTTCGTTATTTATAATCTACCATTCGTCGTTTGCTATTCGTTTTTCGCCTGTCCCTCGTCGTTTGTAGACGCCGATAGGTAGCTAATATATTTGTGGGAATAACAGACATCGAGGGGAGAAGAAAGACTACTCATCGGTGATAAAGAACGAAGGCGGATGTGGCGCAATTTTTCCGGGAAATATGAAGTGGTTGGTTCTAGAACATTCGAGATCACCCGCAACCACACGGAAACACTCTATTTTACTATATAATCAAATCGAATTGCGTTGCAGGACAGTTCCAATTTCAACGCCTAAGTAATAAATAGTCCGCGATGTTATAAATCAATTCATTTTAAGTCTGTTATAAATGTATTGTTAGCTAATTGTAAATAAATAACCAATAAACCAATCAAATTTACAATAGCATAAAACTAACGGTATTCCTATTGTTTCAGCTTGTCGCCAGATGGAATATGGCGTCCAGGCGATCTTCGGACCATCCGATCCCGTGCTGGGCGCCCACATCCAAAGCATCTGCGAGGCCCTCGACGTACCGCACCTCGAAGCCCGTATAGACTTCGAGCCCTTCTCAAAGGAGCTATCGATCAATCTGCATCCCAGCCAGGAGCTAATGAACAAGGCCTTTCGAGATCTAATGACCTACCTAAATTGGACCAAAGTGGCAATTATTTACGAGGAGGATTACGGTACGTAATTAACTTTTCTTGCTGAACGCATTTTCACTGTCAATTTATAAGAGTACATTAAAATTTAATTAGCGAGAATTAGTGCTTACCAGTTCATTACGTTGGAATTGTAGCTTTAAGGGGTGGCTAATTAATTAGTGCTTAGCATTTTCGTCGAATACAACGCGACTTTTTGGCGAATAAAAGTGGAATCAAGGTATCCTCTCGAACGATGCAGGTGGAATTCACGGTTGACTTTGTTGACGTTTTGTTCGTATTACCTTTTTCGGTGCTCGGAGCCTAACAGATGCCTGACATATTTTCAATTGTAAGTCGAGAATATTATTAACATTAATATTATTCGTTATTTTATCAAATGGAAGATTCAGAATTCCATAGGCGTCTCTTTTAAATTTTTGACCTATTTCCAGACATAACTAAATCATATTTGACGTACTTTAGATAAACTTCAGCAAAACATGCTCCAAGAAGCCGCTCCGAAATTACGTGACCTGGTCGGGCAAATCAAACTAACGACATAATATGGTGGAAATCCGTGAATCGCAACTCATATATCGCACATATTTTCTAAACTGAAGAGTTTTTGTTAGCATGATCTCGCCCCCGAAATAGATAACTTGCCCCTCGTTCAGGGGATTCAAGCCTACAGTTGAGAGTTGAGGTCCATGCCGGCATTAGGTGTCGTAACTAATGTGGTTACAGTTATTTGTCATCCCCGTGGCCGCCTCATTCACGGAGAACATTTTAGTTTACACACAATTCGTACACACACCAAAAAATCCGATAACTTCCACATATTTAAACGAATTATATCAATTTCAAAGACATTAAAGTTTTTAGTTTCAGTAATAAGAGCTTCAATTAATTGTATTCGACTGTCACATGTAAAGCAAAAAAACCAGTTAACGCTACAATTAGCACACGTAGACCGAGGCAAATTTCAAAAACTTACTGATCTTTTCCATTTCACATTTAGTTCACCTACTAGGGAGTAAAGGTAGCTTAATTAATTATACGTAGGTTTCTACTCAGGCTTAAATAGTGTTATTCAGTGCATGCAAATAATACTTTTTGCGATTATTTTAATTGATATGCAACACTCTTTACGTACGTAATCGATGTGGCATTGTGTGGTAGATGAAATTTGGAGAAGTTTCTTTTAGGCCTTTTCAAGCTGCAAGAGCTGGTTAAGGCGCCGGACTCGGCGAAAACGGAAATGTACATACGTCAGGCCGGGCCCGGTTCGTATCGACAGGTCCTGAGGGAAGTGCGACAGAAGGAGATTTTCAAGTTGATTGTCGACACGAATCCGAAACACATTCATCATTTCTTTCGAGCGGTAAGTTTTTCTCATCTTTTATTAGCTTTAGCTAATGCCATTTCTTAATATCAATGTTACTGAAATACATTTAGTCCAAATTACCGTCGACGTATGAATAGCTCCAGAGTTTAAGAAGTTATAAATGAGTTTTCAAAGACTCATACTCTTTAATCTAAGTTTTCGTTCGTCCTGTATTGCCAGTCCAATCCAGGACAATGTAGTTCGAGATATACCCAGCTAAGGCCCATAAAGTATTCTCATAATCAAATAGCCAAATAGTACTTTGATATTAAATATATTCAACGATCATGGTCATTATCAGGGGGTTATAGAGGTACATATTATCAACGTTGTAACATTTTCTATAAATGGTTAATACAAACCAAAGGTGATTAGTAAAAGGGCTAGCGGGGTGTTATGCCCCCAATGGTTCCAAAATTTGCGTTTCTCTGTTCTTTTTTTTAAGAAAGATCAGTCGTATTTGATTAGCTTTTTTGGGTATGTCCTACCCAATTTTGATTTGTTTAAGATTCGGTTCGCTTGCCATAATTATTTTAGTGCAGCTTTAATCATCATTTAAGGTTGGTTTAATGGATTCTTCGGGTTCAAATTTACGAGAAAATCACGTTTCCCCGCTTATATAGTAAAAGTCGTCTCTGATTAATTTCCAAAGACTTTCATAACCTAAAAAATGCGTTCAAGTTGGAAATGCCTTAATTTACTTTGAGTATCTCTTCAAAATCTCTTCAAATTTCTTCAAAATCTCTTCAAAATCTCTTCAGAATCTCTTCAAAATCTCTTCAAAGTTTCTTCAAAAGCTCTTCAAAATCTCTTCAAAATCTCTTCAAAATCTCTGCAAAATCTCTTCAAACTTTCTTCAAAATCTCTTCAACATTTTTTTCAAACTCTCTTCAGAATCTCCTCAGAATCTCTCCAAAATCTCTTGCGAATCTGTTCGAAATCTCTCTAATATCTACAAAATCTATTTGAATATCTTCAAAATCTCTAAAATTTCTTCAAAGCTTCCAATCTCTTCATGATCTCTTCAAAATCTCTTCCAATTTCTTTAAAATTTCCTCAAAATTTCTTCGAAACCTCTTCAAAATCTCTTCAAAATCACTTCCAAATCGCTTCTAAATCTCTTCAACATCTCTTCAAAATCTCTTCAAAATTTTTTCAAAATCTCTTCAAAGTCTCTTCAACATCTCTTCAAAATCTCTACAACATATCTTCAAAATCTCAGCAAAATCTTCAAATTTTCTTCAAAATCTCTTCAAAATTTTTGTCAGATTCTCTTCAGAATCTCCTGAGAATCCCCTCAGAATCTCTCCAGAATCCATTCAGAATCTCTTCAAAATCTCTTCAAATTTCTTTAAAATTTCTTCAAAATTTCTTCAAAACCTTTTCAGAATCTCTTCTATATCTCTTCAAAATCTCTTTAAAATCTTTTCAAAAGCTCTTCAGAATCTCTTCAAAATCTCTGTAAAATCTCTTCAAAGTTTCTTCAAAATCTCTTCAAAATTTTTTTCACATTCTCTTCGGAATCTCTCGTGAATCTGTTCGAAATCTCTCTAAAATCTACAAAATCTATTTAAATATCTTTTCTTCAGAATTTTCAAATCTCTTCATGATCTCTTCAAAATCGCTCTTCAAAATTTTTTCAAAATCTCTTCAAAATCTCTTCAAAATCACTTCCAAATTTCTTCAAAATCTCTTCAAAATCTCTTCAAAATCTTTTTAAAATCTCTTCAAAATCTCTACAACATATCTTCGAAATCTCTTCAACATTTTTTTCAGATTCTCTTCAGAATCTCCTCACAATCTGTCCAGAATCCCTTCAGAATCTCCTCAGAATCTCTCCAGAATCTCTTGCGAATCTGTTCGAAATTTCTCTAAAATCTACAAAATCTATTTAAATATCTTCAGTCTCTAAAATTTCTTAAAAATCTTCAAATCTCTTCATGCTGTCTTCAAAATATCTTCAAATTTCTTCAAAATCTTTTCAAAGTTTGTTCAATGTCTCTTCAAAATCTCTTCAGCACCTCTTCAAACTGTCTACAGAATCTTCTCAGAATCATTTCCAAAAATTCGGTTTCAGTTTCGACTCCAAACTTTTGTTTGAGTTCTCGTTGGTAACTTTTTCAGTTATTCGGAGCCGTTGAAACCTCCACATCCTCCTCGTTTTCCTGCGTTCTCTTGTTTTACTTGTTCTCCCATTCTTCGGTTTTTTCATTATTCACTGGATTTCTTAAATTCTTCTTCATCTGCTATCCCTTAAAATTTCTTGATTTCTTGCGCATCCTCTTCCATCCGCTACTTCTTTTATTTCCTTTTCCAGTTTTTCGAAGCCCTCGAAATTTCAAAATATTTCACTAGATTCCTCTACTCCCTTTCTTTTGTTGTGTCTTCTGTTCTTCGCCTCTTTGTCAGTTACAAGGTTCTTTGATTTTTGCGCTCCTTGCCCTTTTTTGTGGATTCTTCGACTTTTTCGCCGCGTGTCAGCTAGCGTCCCTTCCTCGATCCACTTCTTTGTTCTTTGAAGATTTCAAGCCTACTCGTCTTCCTCGCTTTCCTATACCTCCTGATTTTCCTGCGTTCCTGATGTTTGGCTTCTTTATTATCGAAGGGTTCATTGAATTTTTTTCCTTCGCCTTTTTTCTTTCATTTCTTGTGCCTCTTCGTACTCTTCTACTTCTCTTGAGTGTGGCGCTCACGATTCTTGCCTTCTGTAATTTCTTTCGACTACGTTTTCTTTTCAGCTACTTTTCTGTTCTTTGAGAATCTTGAGATTTTAATTTTTCTCGACATCTTCGCTTTCTTATACTCCCCTGATTTTCTAACTTTCCTGTTCTTGGACATCTTTATCATTCCCTGCCCAAGTTCTTCGGATTTCTTCATTTCTACTTTGCTTACTTTCGTTCTTGGCTCCGTTTTCTCCTTCTCCTCTCGTTTTTGTAGATTTTTCGACTCTGCTTTCTGGCTGACTTTTTTTTCAAATTTCTTATTATTCACTTTCTCCGTCTTTCGGGGCTTTTGAGATCGGACTGCCACGCCTCAGCTTTTCCACCTTCTGCAGCCTATTTTTCGCTTGTTTAGTTTCTCTCTTCCCTATACTCTCTTGATATTCTTGCGTTCTTCCGCTTCTCTATAATTGTTCGGATTTCATAATTTCCTCATCGTCTACTTTGATCGCTTCAACTTCTTTGATTTCATAGGCTTCTTTGTTCTCTTGGATTTTTTCTTCTTCAGTTTTTTTGGTTTCTTCGATTGTTTCTCTCTCCTCCGCTGCATTGGAAACAACTTCCTTAATTGGGAAGTCTATGAGCTACTTCATATCTTCAGTCTCCTTGATTTCACCTTAAAAAATTTCTTTTTCTATGCTTCCTCTACTTGTGCTTCCCAGAATTTTTCGATCTCATAGGCTTCCTTCAACATTTTTTTCTTAACTTCTTTCATTTCAAATAAATCGCCAATCAAAACACGTGCGCTAATTAGATTTCGGCTGACAGAAACTTATTGAAAACGAAAACTACGCAAATACAAACAATTCTAAAGGAAAAAACAAACACCGAAATACAAATTCAAATGAAACGAACCACCTATGTGCTTACTTTGTAAATAATCCCCCTCATTTAGTTACCTGAAATATACTCAAATGCACGATGTCCTGTCAGTATTTTTGGTTTTTACACCGAACTGACTTTTAAATGACAATATTTTAAGTAGGTAGTCCATATTTATTAATGTCTCATGGCCGTTTGCACCGACAAATTTAAGCGGAGCTTAGCTTAAGCGTAGCTTAAAATCCATGGCAACGATTATTGAGACAATGGTTGTCATGGATTTTAAGCTACGCTTAAGCTAAGCACCGCTTAACTTTGTCGGTGCAAACGGCCATCAAAGCCTTAACCCACTATCTTTCCCTAAACGAATTCGCTACTTTTCGAGTAACTTCGCAGTTCTTTAGTGCAGGTTGAACTGCGGCATGTTTAAACCCGGTTCGGATGCAGCAAATGAGCGCTTTTTTTTCATTCAATAATTCAACCACTGAAATATTCCGTTTTGTACCGCTACATTTTCCATACACAGCCGAATCATTTTTTTTAATCCACTCTCAGCGTTTCGCCTATCTGAAAATTAAATCCCCTAAAATGATTGGAAATGAACGGGGAGGAAAATAGCTTTTAATCGCTCTTCCGGGAAACTTTTGTTTGTTTGTATTGATAAAGCAGCGCTAAAATCTCCATTGTGCATTTTCACAAAGAAAAATGTTGCTTTTGTTGCAGATTTTACAACTTCAAATGAACGACTACCGATACCACTACATGTTCACCACCTTTGTAAGTATCAGCTACCGTTTAAATTTGCTTCATTTTATTAATAGGACCGATATCAATTAAGCCCTAGCAAAAGTGATCTCTTATGGGAGTAAAACGTTTAGAGCATTATATAAAAAACTACTCAATCGACATACAGAACTTCAGGGCCAACAATAAATGAGACTGTCGCCCCCTATTCGTAACTGAAAATAACTTCAAAAGGCCAAGGCCACTCGATTTACAAAAAAAAAATTAGTTGCATTTGCATCACACGCTCGGCTTGCCTACATTACAAGAGACTCTAAATATACTGGGTCTGTAGACACAAGAAAATGCTATGAATCTAAGCAAACCCTAAAACGGGAAAATATTGACATGTAAAATTTCGTGATTTGTCGTTATTTTGTGTAAAATGAAGGCGTTTTCACAAACACTGTTTATTTAATTAGCTTCTGCTTACGCATAAGCAAGTTCAAGCAGTAATTTAAATAGAAAGATTAAAAGATTACCCAACTTACCACAGCAAATAATAGATCTGTTTAATTAAATTTCCTTAAATAATGAACAACAAACATCCCGCTAAGCTAACTAAGAAGAAAAGTAAAAGTACAGCAGGTTTCCTTTCACAAGTTGACAAGGCATGTTTAAATATATACTTGTTCTTTGATATTTTTCAACTAAAGTAAATACCCTTGTCTGAAACTGTTTTTGTTTATTACAAAAGGTTTAATTAATTTTCCTTCTCTTTTATCTTCGTAAACTTGCCAGAATGGAATATTTCGCAAAAGTAAACTAAAAATTTTTTTAGTGTACACGATGGAAACCGCGTATATAGCCTCAAAACAAACAGCATTTTTTTACAGAAACTGCGTACTGAAGTGAAGTGAAAAAATCTTTATTACCTTTAGTTTTACAGTAAAACTACACCTACCGAAGTATTTGCACACAAGATCTAAGTTAATAGAGAAACTAAAATTAAACCCGAGGCTACTAGCCTGTTTGGGTTTTACACATATACCTTTTCATGCCCACTATAGCAGGGTAAGGGGACGGACTGGTCAATATTTTCTCTTTAACTAGTACTTGAAATGTGTAGTCAGTGGCGTTCGTCTGTCTAGTCAAGGGAAGCATATTATTTTTAATGGAAACTACTGGTTTTTATTACATTGTTGAAGAGTGTTCTTTTTTGGATATAGCACAAAATGAATACGCAATAGAAAATATTGGTTGCTATTCAAATATTTTGAAGGTATACTCAGTGTTCCCCAAATTACAACCTGCATAATATTCCGCATTGCCTATGTTACCTAGTGATGATGCTTTTTGTAAATCGCCAATGTTAGTAGACGTTAAGGGCATTCGCTCTTTATAAGGTCTTCGAATGTTTGCACGAGGTCCATTTTTGTGTTTCCAAATATATAGAAATATTTAGGGTTTTAGTGGTTCTTGAATATGGACCTGATTTTTCAATTGCGTGTGAAAGTTTAAGGCGCTAGGTAGTCGCGAGAGTCTGTAAGTATCACATCCGTCGTTACCATAGGTGTGAATTGCTGATTGAGCGGGTTTCCACTCCAAGCAAAGTTGAGTTATTAGTGTCTAGGGTTCTCATTGGACGCAAACAATAGCTTTGATTGGTAGACAAAGTTATACGTCCTAGAATTGATGCGAATCAGAACAGTAAAGTAGTGGGAAATTAGAGTATATCTTCGAATTCCCCCACAAAGGAATATCCCTGAAAGAAAAAGAAGCTTCCAAAGCTTGTTTGGACATAATACTCCGCACGCAGAAAGTCAACTAAAAATCAAAAAATTTTAAAATTACTCGCTGACAGCTTCAAAAAACTTTCCTTCTTTAATAGACTGAACTCAATGACTGGATTGATAAATAAGAAGAGAACATTTTCGGTGCTTGCTCGGGCGGTAGAAATTTTCCGGAACACATGAAGCAATTAATATAAGATCCGTGAAAGAAAAAGAAGCTTACAAAGCTTGTTTGGTTGGACATAATACCCCGCACGCGAACGGTCGATAATTAAAAATTAAACAATTTTGAAATTACAGTTTTGTTGGGGGGGGGGGGGGGGGAGGAAGGAAATCTTTTTACGCACTTTATTTCGAAACTGACGAACTGCGTCTTCAACAAAACCACTAGGACGTGAGATTTAGCGTAAACAAATTTACAGGTTCTTGTTACTGTTGCGGAAAACCGAGCCGAAAACTAACAGCTCCTCAGAATTCTTCAAATCAACCACCAATCGGTCAGATTTGATAGCGCCACCTATAAAGGAATCCGTCCCCACCGAACTAATCACATCGTAAAGCAGGTATACCTTCTAACAGCGCTAAGAAAACGTGCGTTAATTAAATTTCGTCCGATAAAAACTCCTTATCGCAGGCGACCAGATGTCACTACATTTTAACACGCAATTTCGAGTTTTACAATTAAATACACAAAACGATTTTAGGTTTTCATACATGAACTTGCTCTTTTGAAATATCTTCAGTAGTCGGCTTACCCAAATTATAAGAAACTCAAACTTTACTGGGTTCATAAATATTCTTTTAAAGACTTTTAAACGCTATATTTCCTCATTGCTGCCTACATTAAATTTTCATGTTCATTGAAAACAGACGGCAATAGAAGAACAATTTCATTAACTTTTTTAATTTGTACGATTTTAACGGTATTACGTTTTATTATTGTTAAAGTTAGACGCGTTGGTCATGAACCTTCTGTGCACTTATTTAAAAAAAAAACTATACACTGTGATCGAGATAGAGGGTTACATCAATATCTCTTCTATTTGGTGAGATATGACAAATTTGCTAACTTCCTACATCACTTCCAGTTTAACCGAAAAACGATGCAAATTTTGTTTTTCAAATGCAATGCCTAATATAACATAATATAAGTTTTTTTAAATACTCGAAGAGGGCAATCAATCTTCTATACAACATAAAATATGCATATTGTTGATATACAAACAAGTTCGTTATTCAATATTTAGAAAACTTATGAAAACTAGCATACCGTGTGCAGTCATGATGCGTGGTGTCTGTTGAGTTACACAGAAAAGTTGCTTGAAGAGGCTCTTTTCAACGATACCAAATTTGTTAAAATCGGTCAAACGGTTAAGAAGTTAAATCAGGTTATTGCAAAAACAATTGAACGCCCTACGCCATCTTTGTTTTTGAAATAACCGAGTTTTTGTTTTGACGAAAATGATAGATAAACTGATTCTCTTTAAAACTGTGAAAAAAGAATGTTTAATTTATTATGCGAAATTTAAATAAAATGCAATTTTAAAGATTAAGGTGGCAGGTACGCCCTGTGGTGGTCATTTTTAGAACTTGAAAATATTTTCCAGCGATTCTTCATAACCGATTTACCCCATAATTTTTTCTACCCCTAGGTCATACGACGAACGGTCGAGGAACAGTCTTATTGGGTCATCCGGTACTAATGATTATTTATATATAAATGCGATTTCATAAACCGTTTCACATTCTTTTTAAAAACATTATAAACTCTTGTCTTATCACGTATACAAAATGTTATAAATTATTGCCTATTTACTTTTAACAAAAATAATTTCTAAAGATAAGTAAACTGCACACAAAGAAAACACCTGCACCTTATCAACTTAAAATGTGATAAAATTAAATAAAAACAATAATTTCCTATTGTTATCTAGTAATGGTCTGCATTCAGTACAAATAATTTCGAAAGATAAGCCACTTGCACACAAAGAAAACACCTGCACCTTATCAACTTAAAATGTGATAAAATTAAATGAAAACAATAATTTCGCATTGTTATCTACTAATGGTCTACATTCAGTACAAATAATTTCTAAAGATAAGTAAATTGCACACAAAGAAAACACCTGCACCTTATCAACTAAAAATGTGATAAAATTAAATAAAAATAATATTGTTATCTAATAATGGTCTACATTCAATACAAATGAACAGATGTGATGCATAGTAACGCACCAGTATACATACATGTTTGACAGTTGGGGGTCAATATATGGCTTTCTCAGCGCAATGAAACATTTCACTTGCTATTTTAGATTACTTATTGGAGCAGTTTCTAGAACCAATGCTCAATAATTCCATTGTGGATGTTGTTCTTTAATCTTTTGTCTCATAAAAAAAATATCTTCTCCCCTTTGACTTCGAATTCTTACCGAGACTTTAATTTTTACTTCCATTCCGAAGTAAATCCCTTTCAAATTGTCTGTAAAGGAAATTGCATTTCCGCTTGTATTGTACAAAGCAATTTTTCCTAATTCAATTTGATTGCTCCATAAGCGGATCAATTGGGCGTAGAGAATAATAAATAAACGGCGAATAATTGACATGTATGGACCTGTCAGCCAGCAGAACACTCGATGCACTTGACGCGTCAAGCTGTCACATCGCCCGTGATTAGCAGCACCAATCACTCAAAACAGCGGACGCGCAAATTACACTTCCGCCTCCAAGACATTTAAACCGTTCCATTTTTAATCAAACAGAAAGATTTTTCGTAATTTTAACTGTAAGCTCGGACGTCTCGAGATTAATTCTTGCGTTCCTCCACTTCTTTAATTTAACCTGCTCTTTCGTATATCAATCTGACAACAAATGGCGAGCGACATTTTTTTGCGAAAGAAAAAATTAACTGCACTGAACTGAAATATTAGTTTTAATATAAATTGTTTTTTGGTAACGAGAAGTTTATCGATTCGCTAGCTAGAGGCATGGTCCCCGGTCTTTTTTTTAATAAATGGACTCTAATGGTGGAACGTAAGGAATGGAAAACATTTTTGCCCTTAAGTTCGAGAACTTCATTAATCTTTTATTCCGCATCGAATTGGAGAGCATAGGGGCGGAAATGTGTTCCTAAGTTTCGAATTGTTTTTCGATACATCTATAGTTTAATTACTGTAGCAATCAAGGAGCGAGGGGGTAATGTACAAAAACGTTCGGCATACGATTCTCAGTAAGGGAATTTATCCACTCAGCTCGTATTCGGAAACCAGACTTTTGATCCGGCTCATAATCAATAGCGCTGAACGTTGAACTCGTAGAAATCGATTGGCGAAGGTTTGACATCGCTATCTCTTTTCGTTCTCGAGTTAGAAAAGGTATAGACAGACGGACAGACAGACGGACAAAACCATCACGTAAGGTAAATTTGTTTTCCCCTAAAAACGTCGTTTATTACATTTTTGAACGTCATTTACATAAATGTAGGCTTGACACCATTTATTTATATTGCACTCCTGTTCATTTATAATAGAAACTGGTTTGGAAGAGTGGTGGCTTAAGGATCAACACCCAACACTTAAAAGTCTTCCGGTCTCAAGTTTTAAAAGCTAAAGATCTAGTATTTTAAGCTCAAGGCTCAAGATTCAAAGTTTAAGAGTCAAGGTCTACGGTTTATATTTCGGGGAATGGTCGATTCTCAAGATACAGAACTCAAGATTCGAGGGTCAAGGCTGGTCTGCAGATCGTTGTTCAAGGTTCATGGAATAAACCTCGTGTTTGAAGGCTTAATACTCCAATGTGCCAAGTTTATAATTCAGGACTGCAGGTTAGAGGGTTCAAAGTCAACATTCAATGGATAGAGGTTATTATATATTATATATTAAATGTTTTGGCGGATATAGGCGAAAGGCTTAAGGACTAAGATGACTCAAAGTTCAAGGTTCAGGGTTTAATTCTGGGTATTTAAAGCCCAAGGCTCAATGTATAAGGTTTAAGAACGAGTTAGAAAGCTAAAGATTCAAGGCTTACAGCTTATTGTTTATATAAGATCCAAGACTCAATCTTTTTCACGACGATCAAGGTTTTCAAGGTGAAACCTTAAGTTTTCAGGGGTCACAGTTTAAGGCTCAAGGTTCAAAATTCATGTTTAAGGCTCTAAATTTGAAATACAAGGCTCATGAATTAATGCTGACATTTATGTGTAAAAAATAAAATTCTATGATTCAGACTCAGTGTTAAGGTTTTAAAATCTCAGTGAGCAATGGCCAAGGTTTAAGCTCAAGTTTCAAGATTCATGTCACACGTCTGAAAGCTCAAAGATTACTTCATGATTAAGGTTTTGTGATTTTTGTGAAAAATGAAATTACAAGGTTCAAGGTTCAAGGCCAACGGGGCATTGCTCAAGCTTAAGAGTTAGTGATTTAACGATTAAATCTGAAACTCAAGTTTTAAAATCAGTAAATGTTAGAAACACAATGCAGAACAGCTTATGGCCACGCCCCAACGGTAAATGTTCAAGGCTACGAACTCATGGCACAAGGTTTAAGCCTTACGGTTCGCAAATCAAGGTTTAGTTTTGGGTATTTAAAGTTCAAAGTTCAATGACTAAAGTTTATTTTTGTATTTATTTATTTATTTATTTATTTAATTAATTTATTTAATTATTTATTTATTTATTTATTTATTTATTTATTTATTTATATATGTATTTATTTATTTATTTATTTATTTAAAGACTCCCAATTTAATATGCCAATGCCTGAGACTCAGACTTTAAGGGCCAAAGTTCAACGTTCAGGTCCAATATTTGTAATTTTCTAATCTACTATGAGGCTTACGGTTAATACTAAACGATTAAGGACCAATTGCTTAGGGATCAAGCATCAAAGTTCGTTTACCCTAAGGTTTCAGAGTTCAAGGTTTATGGGTCAGGGTTCAAAGTTCAGGTTCAAGGTTTTAAATTTGAAATATACGGCTTACGATCCAGGTTTAAGCTAAGGTTTAAGTTTCATGTTACATGGTGCAAACCTCAACACTGAAGGCTCAAAGATGACTCAAGGTTTAAAGTTTAAGGTTTTGCGACCAATATTGAAATCCGAAAATTAAAACCTCAAGGGTTAGGGTTCCAGAACAAAGGATTATTGTCCACGGTACAAGGCTCAACGTCAACAGCTTAAGGTTAAAGGCCAGGATCTAAAACGCTGCACTCAAGGTTTAAATGTTTCAGGAGCAACGTTCGTGACTCAAGTTCCAATGTTTGGGGCCCAAGATTCTAGATTAAAAGGTTTAAAACTCAAGGCTCATTGATGTAGATCGGTGGCCTAAGTTTAACGTGTACCGTGGCTCAAGACTCAAAGGCCCATGTTAAATGCGCAATTGCTCATGGGTCAGGATTCAATGCTCTAAGACGTTTAAGATTTCTAGAATAAGAGATCAATACCCAAGGTTTGAGATTTACGATCAAGATTCGAGCCCCGAAACTCAAGTCTCTACGATCAAGGGTAAAGAACCAAGGGTTATGGTTTAATGCCCAAAAATCCACGGTCAAAGGTCAAGGTCTGAAACCCTACACACAAGATTTAGGGCTCAAGACTTTACAAAGACCCGTACACCTGCGGTTCAAAAGTTAAGTTTAGAGAACCAAGGCTAGGGCTCAAAGTTTGAGGTTTAATGTCCATGAATAGAGACTGAAGGCTCATGATTGAGTGCCCAAAGTTTATAAAAGTTCAAAGTTCAAGGCCTAGCGTTAAAGTCCAGAGTTCAAGTTTCAAGGCTCAGGGCTCAATTCTCGTAGTTCAATGCTAAGGGTCAAAACAGACCTTGCATAATTCAAGGTGCAACGTTAAATGGCCGATGCTCAATGCATATATCGTCACAAGGTACGTTTTTTGTATCCATATTTCATATGCCTGAGATTCAAAATTTAAAGGACAATGTTCAGCGTGTAAAGCACAAAACTTAAGTTCAAGGGTAAGGACACCATGGTTAAAGTTCAAGGTTAATGAATCAAAGTTTCTCAAGATGCTAAGGGTTCAAAGTATGACTTACTGAATAGGCTGAAATTACAACTTTACACACAAGGTTCCAGATCAAATTTCAAGGATCAGAAGTTTTGAGTTTATGGTTCAAGATCTGTGGCACAATTTTCAAGGTTTAGGCAAAATCCGAAAGTTTGCTGGCTAAGGTTTAAAATGCTAATTTCAAGGTGTATGTCTAAATGCTTAATGCCTTGGACTCAAGATCCAAAGTTAAAAGATATATTTCAAAGTTCAAGGCCCAAACCTCATAGTTCACGGCTCGGCATCTCAATATTGAAGAGATGAAGGTTAAAGAAGTAAAAGTGAAATTTTAAAACTCCTGTCACAAGTTATGTTAAAAGATACAATTCAAGGTTCAAAGCCCAAACGTGATGGTTAGTTCAAAGCTAAACGGCTCAATGTGGAAGGGTTAGAGAATTAAAATTAAGGGGCTAACATTTAATACTCAGGTCAGGAGGTGTGAGGCTCAATTTTAAAGTTTATGCTTGAAGTTTAAAATTGTTAGATTTCATCTTAAAGGTTTTTGGCGAAAAGATTTGTAATAAAGGCTGTCAAAAGTTCAAGATTTAGAGTTGAAAATTTAAAGTCCAAGAGGTTTTCTATTTACAGGTTCAAGGCTTAAGCTTCAATCAAATATCCGTAACGTTTTACGGCGAAAGAAGGTTCAATGCTCAATGTTCAATTCTAGTAAATTATGAGCAAGTGTTTCAAAGCTCTGGTCACAAAGTTAAAGACTAAAGACTCAAAACAGAACCCACAAGGTTAAATTCTATCGCTACAGATTCAAAGTTCAAGGTTCAAAGTTCAAAGTTCAAGGTTCAAAGATCAAGGTTCAAGATCCAAAGTTCAAGGGTAGAAGTCACGTTTAAGGCAAGATTAAACGTTCAGGTCTCACAGTATAAGGCTTTAAGGCCAATGTTAAATGGCAAGAAGTCCAGTTTGAGTGTCATAAAGTTTTAGACAGCGAATGTTTAAATTTGAGGAGTCAAGGTTCAACATCCACATCTAGAAACTTTTGTCAAATCATTTGTTTATTGTTTTGTGTACTGATCCCCTATTTATTTCCAATTAGCTATCGCTGAATTGTCCGCAAAGTGACATTGCCCTTAATAGGGTCTTGTCTCAATGGGAAAAAAATCTGCACGGGCGCCATATCATCGGTAGCCTTCTGCAAACGCAAAACTTCGATTAGAAAAAGTCTGAATTTTTTCATCCTTTGCATGTTTTAATGTTTTCATTTTCGATTAGGATTTGGAAACGTTGGACCTAGAGGACTTCAAGTACAATTCCGTAAACATCACTTCATTTCGAATTGTGGACATCGACAATAAAAAAGTACAAGAAACCCTCGGCGTAATGGAAAACTTCCAGCCAATAGGACACGCGATACTAAATCGAAGCGGTGTGATACAGGTAAGTGCCGGATAGAGAAATGGTATCGATGACAATATTCGCCCACCTCGTTTTCAGGCCGAGCCCGCGCTAATCTTCGATTCGGTGTACGTATTCGCGAAGGGATTATCGGCGATGGAATCCGGCCACACTATAAAACCGACGAATTTGTCTTGCGACCTCGAGAAACCATGGGACGACGGCCTATCGCTCTACAACTACATCGACGCCGTTGTAAGTATTGTAATGTAAATGCGATCCTTTTTAGTCGGTAACAAGTGGCCGTTAGGAGCGCGCTTAAAAGCTTCACCCCCGTAATGGACGGTGAGAGGGAGAGCTCGCAAAAAAAATGTAAATAATCCCGAGCGGTAAGCGACATCGATCTGGGGTAATTAAAACCAATCCCATTTCGATTGAGCTTTCAATTCGGTTACTCGGCTCTCAAAATGCCATCGCGTTCCCTGAAATTAAATCGAGAAAGCGACGGACTTTAGATTTGGGAAAATCGATGGAGCTATATAAAAAGAGTGCTTCACATGCGGGAGTAGACATTTTAATAATCTAGCGCAATTGTTATAGTGAGCGCCCTGGGGGACTTTTATTTAAAAAAAAAAGATTTACACGTTACGCGACCGTATAGATTTCGTAGCTCTGGGGGTTCTACGCGTGTAAAGGAAACATTTAATTAAGAAGTGACTGAGGCGGTGACAGTTCAACTGTATGTACGAGCACGCTTTTGTCCCTAAATCTTCAGGCAGCTTTCGGATTGCATGACAGGATTTAGGCTTTTCCATTTAACAGGATGGAACTAGATCGGATTGTGCGATTGATTTATCCTGAGAATTTTTCAAATAATAGCTGACACTGTAATGATTTCTTTTAGTGCCCCAGCATTACTGTCATTCGATGCGAGTGCCATTAAATATTGAGCCACGTATGAGTTAGTAACGTCTATATATGAACCGAGTTATTGTTGATGCCATTGCTATCATTAGTCACGTATGAGTTAGTAACGTCTAAATATGGAACCTAAAGTTGAGCCTGACCTTTATCACAGGTGAACCTGAGCCAAGGCGGCCTTTTCGAATAACTCTTCTACCATTATTGGAAGCATCGCATCGCCGTTTGATGGAATTTCAAAATCTATGGAACCAAATCTGGAAACTCAAAAGGATTTTTGGAAATTGTAAATGTACAAAAGGAGAAAAGTCTTTCGCAGCCTTCTAGAGTCCTTTAGTATTTAAAACCCTTCAAAAGTCTTCAACAGACCTCAAGTGGGAAAATTTTCAAGGAACTGTAAGAACATTCAAGCCGCTTTATTGGTCCTTAATTAAACATGAGTCATCATATCATTTTTTTTCAAAGATTTTCAGTGGTCTTTAGAGCATGCCCTAAAGCGATTTAGAGAATTCATGGGAATCACTAAGCTAAATCCTTGCAACCATTTATAGGAAATTCTCATGCCACTTGATTGCGATTAAGCCTTGTAATTTTTCTTTAGAGAGTACCCTCTTCCGACACTTCGATTTGGAGATTTCCGGATCTCAACGACGAATGAATTTTCTCTCTGGGAACACCCTCTTCCGGCACTACGTTTGAGAGATTTCGAATTTAAAGTATTGTCCAGGCCATCTACTTTCTCTTCTAGAATACCCTCTTCTGGTACTCCATTTTCAAGATATTTGAATTTGAACGTTTGGCCTAATCGACAGACGTATGTCTCGTCCAGCCCATCTATTTTCCCCGTTAGAGTGCAATTTCCCGAAATTCCGTTTTCAAAATATTCGGATTTAAAGTTTTAACACCCACCGCCAGAGTATCTTCTTCTAGCGCTTTTGCTTTGGTTCCGAGATAGTAGAATTTGAAGTTTTGACTCCATCAACGTGTTATAGACATTAACTGTGCTATGGTGCATAACTTTCCTACGTTCGTGTATTGAGAATTGCAGTTCGGTACCCTCTGAAAGTCCGAACCGCTAAAAGTTTCAATTCTCTTCAAGACCCCTTGCAAGTTCTAGAGGATTTAACAACCTCGAATTCACTTTCAGCGCTTTTATAATCGCTTAATAGGATTAAGAACCTTTAAGAGACTTGTATTGCCAGAGCTTTTATAGGAGTTTAAGGGTCTTTAAGGGCGCTTAAACAGTCTCGAAGGGCCTAAAAGTGCCAGTCCGAATGCTTTTAGATTCGTTGAGGTTTCCTTCTTTCTAAAGGCGCCGAGCCTTTAAGATCTTTGCGTTTTTCGGTACTTTCAAATGTTAAAAAAATCTAGCCGTTAAAGATGAACGGAACAAAAATCACACCGACATGGAAGGTGCAAGGAGGGGCTTGGTGAACTCAACCAAAATTGTAACGCGTTCAAAATCGGTCACATATTGATTTGGGAGAAAACAATTATGAACACATAAAATTTTACAAGAGTTGCCGTTGTATTGTTCCTTAAAGAGGAATAATCTCATTAATTACTATCTTCGGTATTTTAATTCCAGCTATCCCAATGACCCCAAATCTTTATATACGTACTGAGATACTGGTTATCCTGTGCACGTGTTGGCTTTCCCATTGCGTAATTTCGACAACAAAATGGCCGCCGACTGGTATGGTGATAAAAATTTGGTCTTGATAATCGTAATTAAAGGTGGACGTAAGGTCAAATAGAAATATTCCACGACTCGAGATAAAACGTGTCGAGTCTAAAATAATGCATTAACCCGGTGGATAAGACAACATGGTCGTACTCACGTAATTCGTAAAAGAACAATGTATAGCCTCCAACTCGGAGTACTTGCGACGCCTTAAATGTTTAAGAACCCTAAAGCCTCTTTAACAACTGTTTCTTTGGAAGGTTTCGTGGGCTATTAAGAACATTTAGGAGTCTTGAGGGGCGTTTAAGAAGATTCTATACTGTTGTACGAACCGATAAATCCTCTTATTTAGAGGAAGGCAGTTTGGCTTTTTCTGAAGTTTCAAATGCACCACTTACGCAATCCGTCGGCAGAAGGATTTACCATTGGCAATGCACTGGTCGCGCACAGGTAACAAAATACGTTATCCAGTCCACCTCAATAAAAAGGTATTAAAGGTATTATGCTTCTCATCTGCCCGACTTAAAACGGCCTGCTCGGACACTTTTACTTTGTCGGTAAAACAAAAACGACCCTTAACTTTCTCGAAGGTCAGAATTTTCTTTAGACGCTCCCGCGGTTGTTCTCCTCCTCCTAACTCTGCGCTTTTCGTAACTTTTCCCTTTTCTACGCGGGCCTCCCAGACAATCCGAAATGGAACAGTAATTCCGTCAGCGCCCACACTCCAACCGCAATCTACTATTCTTATCTGTAACTTGCGCCGGCCAGAGAAACAGAAACGGAACCAACGCAAACTTGACGACTCGCGTCTATTCTTTACTATCTAACCCACGTTATCCAAACCGGTCTCGTTGCCGCTATTAAACCCTCACGAGATTACCATGTGAAAATTTATGCGTCCGTAATTGAACCCGGAATGTAAAAATCAAAAAGAATTAAGTAAAATCGCACCAAAGCTCCCGGTACAAGCTCCTGTAATATTTTGTAGCTTCTGTAATCTGTAGTTTTATTTTCCCTACAACGTATTCAATTTTTATGCCGTGAAAATGAGCGCGGGGGGGGGGGGGTAACCTCTGTAGCCTGTATTGCCTGTAGCTTCTGTAGCGCTTGTTGGTTTTGTATCTTTTGTACATTTTGTAGCTTATCTGACTCTGACTGAGCTTTTGTAGTTTGAGTGCCGTAGCTTTTGTAGTTTGAGTGCCGTACATGGTTACTAAATTTTCTGTAGTTTCCATTTCTTCAGTCGCTTGTTCCAATTATCTGTCTCTTGTAGCCTCTGTTGCTTCTGGCTCTCCTATCTGCTGGATCCGTCGTCTTTCCTGTGGCTTTGGTGACCTCTATGCATTACGTAGCTACAGGGGCTTCACAAACTTCTGTCACGCTTTTAACTTCCGTGTAGCTTCTATAGCTACTGGCATTCCTGTAGCTAAATGCAACACTGAAGCTTTGTAAGCAAATCACAAAAAGATCTTTCAAACACAGCCAAAATTAAATCCCTTAAAGGGTTAGACAAAAATGTCGAGTAAAATACTGACGTGTACTATCGACAAAAACGAACAACAAAACAGCAAGCAATCCTCTACCGTAATTTTGTGCATGTGTTCTGTCAATGGTGGGGAAAAAAAGTGGTACTGTGCGTGACCTCTAGCGGTAAAATAAAATACTGGATAACATTGATCTAACTTACACGAGCTTACAAAGAAAATATACAGGTGGCGTTACCGGCATTAAATCAATCTTTAATATCGTAAATGTTAAATGGAAAGAAAAAACTTTTTCATATTGCTGTAGTTCTTGTTGTGTTTCTCCAGTTCTTGTTGTTTCTCATTTTTGAGACTGTACGTGTCTCTATTTAGAAACTACAAAAGTCACAGAAACTGCAGTAGTTACAAAAGCTACGGAAGGCGCGGAAGCTACAGAAGCTATGGTAGCTTTTGACGCTATAGGAGCTACATGCGCTTCATGAGTTACAAAATTTGCATAAGTTACAGACAGATAGTACGGAAGTTAGATAAGCTACAGAATGTACAAAAGATACAGAAGCTACATAACAGTAGCTACTGAAGCTACAAAAGCGACAAGAGCTATTAGTACCCACATGGAAGATGGAAGATACGAAAGCTACTGAAGCCACAAATGCCACAGAGCAGTAGAAGCGGAAAAAGCTACAGGAGCTATAGAAGCACTTGAACCCTAAGTGAGGGAAAGAAGCTACAAAAGCTGCAAAGGCTACTACAGAGCCACAGGAGGTACACGATCTACATATACACGTGCTAGTGGTACTATGCGTGACCTCTAGCGGTAAAATAAAATACTGGATAACATTGATCTAACTTACACGAGCTTACAAAAGAAATATATAGGTGGCGTAACCGGTATTAAATGAATCTTTAATCTGTTAAATGGAAAAAAACCACTTCTTCATATTGCTTTAGTTCTTGTTGTATTTCTCCAGTTCTTCCTGTGTCTCATTTTTGAAACTGTAATTGCCTCTATTTTGATTTTTTTTTTAAATACTTATTGTTATCTCGTAGCACTATGAAGTGTGTATATTTCCTGGAGATTTTCATTTTCTTAGTTTTCCGGATGTCTATACTATTTTCGAAGTCCTCTTTTACTTCTTTTGTTGTTATATTAAGCTTTTCATTTCCCGACTCATGATATCCCAACTACAAAAGTCACAAAATGATTTGTAGGCGGTTGGTACGGGAAAATACATGCAAATCCAGAATATTCTGAATATTGTACGCTAATTCCACGAAAAATAATATTGACACAAAGAGAAGTTGGACATTAATTATATCTCAAAAGGAAATCGACCATTTTTCCCTAACGGCCTCCCCAAAAACCGCGTTGTCAGTTGAACTCCGCTTTGATTATTAAAATCCGCCTCGTTTGTTTTGTGCACGTTTCAGGCGGGCCTTCAAGGACTGACCGGCAACATCGAGTTCAACGAGGGAAAGCGTTCCAACTTCAAGTTGGACCTGCTGAAGCTGAAAAAGGAGGAGATCACGAAGGTCGGACACTGGACCTCGTCGGACGGCATCAACATCACCGATCCGAACGCGTTCTACGAGAAGAACACGCCGAACATAACGCTCGTCGTTATGACGCGCGAGGTAAGTGCGACACGTCCGTCACCCCCGAAAGTGCCATTTATCAAAGAACGCCACTCCTGTCGGCAATAATTAGCTACTTCGCCAATCTGATTTATTATTTTTTCCCCTAGGCGGACTTGATACGAGGAGGTAATAAATTACTTCCTTGTGTAGGGCATTTCTTAACAATCGCTCAATTTAAACGATGTTGACGTTGTGATTTATAAATTTTACATTTGGTGCTCACGCGAGCGTTACGAAGAGAACGGACGAACGACTGTTTCGTAGACATCTCATTAACTTGTCCCTCGTTTTACCTACGGAATTTGGATGCAATTTATCTCACTTTCAGCTGCTGTTTCATGGCTGTGGATGTCCAACTTGGCGTTGCATTATTTGTATAAATGTGTCGGCACGAAAGAAGTAATTAACTAACGCTCAGATAAATATACCCCAGAACATCTCTTCAAAAGGAGCTATACAAGGCCGATACTAGCTCAGTTCAAGATCGCTCGCCCCCTGGCGGTGGCCTTGGAAATTAGGACAACAATCGCTGTGGTGTTAAATTGCATTTTCACGGACATACCTACAAGGCCCCATTTTTCAGGTGTCAAATCACATGTTCGAGGTCATCCAAGATGACTGCATCTCTTTATTGACCACATCAATTTTTAATCCAGGTCATTCACCTCATTTTTGGGGTGTCAAATTACATTTTTAGTGTCATCCTTTATTGGGGTGTCAAATTACATGTTCAATGTTATCCGAGGTCATTGACCCCATAAATTTTGGAGGTCATCCGACAACGTCGACTCCACTTTTTTGTGTTGTCAAATTAAATGTTCAAAGTCATCCGTGGTCATTCCCCCCCCCCCCCCCATACATTTTCACGCGAGGTCGTTAGCCCCGTTTTGTTGCGGTGACACCTGAACATGGTGTAACGAACAATCTGCAATCAGTACAAGTGACGGAGTGCCTCTCACGGTCCCAAAACCTTCTGAATCTCTACTTTGAGATTGATCAGGTCTTAATTGCATTTTCACGGACATGCAAGGTCAATGTACCCATTTTTGAGGTGTCAAATTACATGTTCGAGGTCATTCAAGGTATTTTCAACAGCATTGAAAGTCAATGACTGCATCTCTATTGACCACATAAATTTTCAAGGTCACCCAAGGTCATTGACTCCTTTTATAATCCGAGGTCGGTTGAGTTGTCAAATTACATTGTCATCTTAGGTCATTGAAACCGGAAACCCGGAACTGGAAACTCAAAAGCTTCGAACTTAGAAACGTGAAATTCCTCGAGGCCCAAAGTTAGAAAGATTGGCGCTCTAAACTCAAAACCCTAACCCAGAGTTTGAAGTTTTGGATCCACATCGTGGGTGGAGTTTCGATCCTCGAGTTTACATCTGCTAGGTTTGGGGTTTGGGAGTTTTGAGCCTCAATTTTCGACCGATGAGTTTTGGGTTTCAAGTTTCGCATGTAAAGTTTAGGGTTTTTGTTTTTGAATTTCAGATTTCTGGTGAAATTCGAAACCCAAAATACCCGAAATTTAAATAATGGAACCAAGCTTTGTTGTTCCATTGTGGTACGTTGAATTCTGAAGAAGACCGATTAGCCTTCCGGGTCCATTTTCCGGTGCTCTCATAAACTGAACCATGAACCTTTCGAACTTTCCAAAGTTCGATTTCCAAAAAGGAGGAAGATGTAAGATAAATACATTTGAGTACATTGAATCCTATTGAAGGATGAAGTTTCTTCGATATCGCTAGGGGTACAATGGAACGAGATTTGGCAGACGGGAAGGGTGTTGAGCCTTTAATTTCGAGCTTCGGGTTTCCAGTGTTGAGTTCCAGGTTCGCGTGTCAAATTTCGGGTTTTGGGTTTCGAATTTCAAGTTTCTGTTGAAATTCAATGTGGGGTTTCTTTTTTGTTTCAACTTCAAGGTCTTTATCTTCGTCTTCTTTTCCATTACGGGTTCCATTTTTGGCCTTTGAGGTTTAAAATGCAACCTTTGCGACTTGAGTTTTGAGTCTCTCTTATTTAAAGTGAGTTTCGGTTTTGAGTTTTGTTTTCTCTCTAGACCTTCGCAATGCCAATTCTTCAGAATTGCGGATTTCGAATACCAAGCAAGAGCTGCCCCCCCCCCCCCCAGTTACTCGCGTTTCTAATTATGAGTTTTCAATTACTCTCCAGTCCCCCGTTACCATTAACTCTTGTGTCTCGTGCATTTCGAGCTTTGGGTTTCAATTGTATTTTCGGGTGTCAAATTTCAGGTGTTGGGTTTCGTCTTTTAAATTTTTGGAGGAATTCATTTTTTTTGTTTCGATCCTCGTCTTCTGAGTTGCGGTCTCTATTTTTGGCCTTCAACGTTTAAAATACGACCTTAAGTCTTGAATTTTGAGCGTCGAGTGTCGAGTTTGCAGCTTTAAGTTAAGAATTTTGAATTACGGGTTTCATGTCTGACTTCCAAGCGTCCATGTTCGTTTCTAAACTGTTTTGACGTTCTAGCTTCGGGTTTAAAACCCGTGGGTTTCAAGTCTCTCTTTTTTGAAGTGAGTTTCGGTTTTGAGTTTTGTTTTCTGTCTAGACCTTCGCTGTCTCGTGTTTAGGATTATTGATCTCTATTAAAGTCTTAATTTGGGACTCTTGAGCCTTGAATTTCGAGCCTCTGGTTTGACTTGTGCGGTTTTCATTTTCGGGTGTCAAATTTCGAAGACTACACCTCTGGTTTTGAGTTTCGTTCTTCTAAATGAAAATTCGTTTCGGTCCTCGAGTTTACGACTGCAATATTTGAAGTCTCAATTTGCGAATCGTGGTCCGAGTTGTTTGAGCTCTACGTTTCGAAGTTTTGAGGTTTCATACTCCAAATTTTGAGCTTCAATTTTCGGATTTTCGGCTTGAACTTTAACGTTTCAAATTTCGAGTTTCCAATTTAGTGTTTCTTTTTAGTATAAATTATGCACAAGTCTTGTGCAGATAAAGAGTATTTTTTTAACCGCAATAGCCTTTGTTTTGACGTCACCAATGGATATATTTCTTGCAGACGTTTCAATCGCCCTTTGTGAGTACCCTCTTCCGACAACCCGTTCTTGAGGTATAAGGAAATATACCCGTACACGATAAGAGGTCGAGAAGGAGGGCTATGGTTAGTAGAAATTAATTCCTTTCGTTGAGACCTTTCATTAGAGTACCATGAAGGATAAAACTAGGTCCACACCCCCCCCCTCCCTTGCCCCTCTAGCCCTTACTTTGATAAGAGGACAGAAAGAAGGGCAGTAGTTTGTAGAAAAGGATTCCTTTCGTTAAAACCTTTCATTAGAGTACCATGAAGGATAAAACTAGTTCCACTCCCCCCTCCCCTTCCCCACCACCCCGTATTTTGATAAGAGGACAGAAGGAAGGGCAGTAGAAAACGGTTCCTTTCGTTGAGACCTTTAATTAGATACAATGAGAGATAGCATTAATTTTTAGACCCCCCCCCCCTCACGCCGGCCCCGTCGCTCACTGATCTCGAAAAAGAGTCGCACGAGAAAGTTATAGTTTGTACAAACCAATTTATTTCGATGAGACCTTCCATTAGAATACCATGAAGGGTAGATTATGTGTTTACCTCCCTCCTCCCCCACCCACACCTAAAGTTTAACTTGGAATCACTAAAGGCATGCGTAAGCGTGTCAGACGGCCATCAAATTTCGCTGTCTAAAAGACCCCCCCCCCCCCACGAATAATTTCCTGAGATGTTGTTTTTGAAAGTAAAACGAGTATAACTTTTACATACAACAAGCAATTCCCAGATTTTGCATACGCATGCCTTTAGTGGTGCCAAGTTAAACTTTGAAAAATAGCGGGCGGGGGGGGGGGGGTTAAACACATGTTCTACCCTTCATGGTATTCTAATGAAAGGTCTCAACGAAAGGAATTAATTTCTACCAACCATAGCCCTCCTCCTCGACCGCTTATCGTGATCGGGTATATTCCCTCATACCTCAAGAACGTATTGTCGGAAGAGGGTACTCACAAAGGACGATTGAGACGTCTGCACGAAATATATCCATTGGTGATGTCAAAACAAAAGCTAATTCGGTTAAAAAAAATGCGCTTTATCTGCACAATAGTTTATACTTGTTTATTTTAAGTAGATCTATGTTCGTTCTGGGTCACGAAGTGACCTTACACCAAACAGAGATGGAGCTAGTGGCGTCACAGCCAATCAGAGACGAGCACGTCCCTTCACTACAGGTGTGTGAAGTGGTCCAGTGCTTTTTCAACTAGTCCAACGTACTTGGGAACCGGTACCAGTCCAAATAGCTGCTGAACCGGGTGGAAAAGCTGTGGGACTTGTTGAAAAACGCGTTAGACCCCTTCAGGCACCTCTTGAAAAAGTTGTTGGACTGCTTATCGAAGATTTTGGACCAGTTGAAAAAGCTGTTAGACTGCTTCACGAATGTGATAGGATAGAGAGAAAGAGGACGTGCTCGTCTCTGATTGGATGTGACGTCATGAGCTCGCCTCCGATTTGTGTGACGTCACTTCCTGACCCAAAACGAACATAGTTTCGAATTGCGAGCTTTCATTACGAATTTCGAGTATCAGGTTACGATTTTCTGGTCTCGATGGTCCTCACGCCTTTTGTTTCTGGTTTCAAACTTGGGACTTACACGAGTTTTGAGTTTCGGGGGTGGAGTTTCGATTTTCTAAATCAAACCTTAAGAAAATTACAACTCGACTGGACCCCCAAAGCACTAAACTCAACACTAGAAACGAAAGGGTCAACGTTAGACGTTCACAGATTTGAAAGTCTTTAAGGTTTGGCACCGGAAACCTGGAAATAGAAACTTAAAACCTTCGAGCCTAGAAACTTAAAACTCGAAACGCAAAATTCGAAAACTTGACGTCCTAGACTCAGACCCCCAAATTTTCCAGGTTCCTTGATTGAATTTCATGTTTTGCGTTTCTAGTTTCGGGTTTGGAACCCTTGAGTCTCGGTTTCGTTTCGTTTCGAATTATGAGTTACTCTCCAGTCTCGATTTACCTTTTAAATCTCTGTCTTAGTTTTTAGGTTTTTGATCTCAATTTTGGAACCCCGAGTACTGAGCCTCGAAGTTTGAATTTAAGGTTGGGAGTTTCGTTTTTTTTTTAAATCAAAATGAGTGAAATTTCAAATTCGCCTCCTAAAACCCACAGTCTTTTGAACCTGAAACCTGAAGGTTTGAAGCCGGAAACCTGGAACTGGAAACTCAAAATTTTGAACCTAGAAACAACGAAGGAATTTCGGTTGCCCAGTTTACGGCTGGGAGATTTGAAGTTTTAATTCAGAACTTTCAGGCCTGGGTTTTGATTTGGGTTTCAAGTGGTTTTGTCTGCTGAGTTCCAATGTTCGAGTTTCAAGCATCCTTTTTGGCACTTCGAGCCTTGATTTTTCAACCTCAACTGTTGCATGTCGATTTTCGGGCGACCCAGAATTTCGAGGGGCATTCAGTTTTGGGGTTTGAGTTTCCAATTTCGAATTTCTAAACACGAGTACGCAATAACACCATAGTACGCATCGTAAACATTGTAAATAAATCAGTCTTTGAATGAGAGTTTTTTCATTTATTCTAAGAGGGTGTAACGAACAGTCTGCAATAGGTACGAGTGACGGAGTGCCTCTAACAGTCCTAAAACCTTCCCAATCTTTAGTCTGAGATTGATCAGGTTTCAAAAGCATTCGTGAAGTTGCTTCATCTTTCCATTGAAGAGTTTAAAACTAGCCTCAGTCAAAGATACCACAAATCAAACAAACATTCCAACCTTTGTGCTTAGAATCTACCGCCCCAGTTACTACAGTACTTTTCCGGATTCTTGCATATAATCTGATCTCATCTAAATTTTCTACAGGGACGGAATGATTAAGTAACTGTTACCTAGAAAATGAGCGTTCCGATCATGTTTTAATTTACTTGAATTGCACACTCCAGCCGCCGCAATCGTCGCAAGAAAGCGCGCCCTTCCCGTCAACTGTAAAAGTAAAAGTCTGTTATCCTCCCCTTACAAGAAGTTATTACCTCCTCGAAAAGCCGCGAGGCTTCAAATTCAAGCGTAGGACCGGCGTTCGGCTTTATTTAACCGCGCCTTCCATTTTCGAAATCTCAAAGCGCTATTTTCCAGGAAAAGCCCTACGTAATGGTGAAGAAGGACGCAAATCTCACTGGAAACGCGAGATTCGAGGGCTTCTGTATCGACTTACTGAAATCGATAGCGGGACAAGTCCAATTCGATTACGTGATCCGTCTCGTTCCTGACCACATGTACGGAGTCTACGATCCGGAAACGAAAGAATGGAACGGAATCGTAAAGGAGCTCAAGGAGAAGGTGGGTTCGGGCGAGGGTGACGTAATCGCAACAATCTCGGATAGACTTCAGATGTCACGTAATTACCTAATCTGGATTAGCTTTAACTAATCGACAAAATTTATGTTAATTGGGCTGCTTAGTGTGTGTGGGGGGGGGGGGGAAAGCGCACCCTCGTTACTTTTTCATTAAAAAGAACTAATAATTTATAGTGCATGGAAAATGGAGATATTTCATTACCCCTAGAGGTACGACTCTTTTTTTTGGTGTGAAGAAAAATCTCCATAAATTAAAGATGTAACGAGTACAAATATCCCCATTATGCTTTCAGCGGGCGGACTTGGCAGTGGCTTCGATGACAATAAATTACGCAAGGGAGAGCGTAATAGATTTTACGAAACCGTTTATGAACCTGGGCATCGGGATTTTATTCAAGGTAAGCGCATTTCAACCGTTCCAATTTTTCCCTGGGCCCACTATCTCGCAATTTTATTGCCGATGTAAATTCTGGTCGCAATTATAGATGCCTACAAGTCAGCCGACGCGCCTATTCAGTTTCATGAACCCGCTGGCGATCGAGATTTGGCTGTACGTACTCGCGGCCTACATGCTCGTATCGTTCACGCTCTTCGTGATGGCGAGGTTTTCGCCGTACGAGTGGAACAACCCGCATCCGTGCCATCAGGATTCGGACGTTGTCGAAAATCAATTCTCAGTATCGAACAGCTTCTGGTTTATTACCGGGACATTTTTAAGACAAGGATCCGGTCTCAATCCGAAGGTCAGTGGGGGGAGGGGGTGGGGGAAGCTTGCTGCATTAAGCGCGGTACGTTTATTAAAGTTGTCGCAAACTATTCGTGCGAGAGACCGGAATACCAAATCGAATCAGCCCAAAATCTGTATAGAAACTACTTTTGTCACGCTGTTCGTGAGAGAAATACTAATTAAGCAGCGAGCGACCAATTACCTTCGTAATGTTTACACTATCTACCAACGTTTATTTTGCATGTTCTGGGATGAGTACTTTTAGAGTAATTAAACAGAGTAATGCGTTGTAAGATATCTAGATGTAACTAACCCATACGGGTCAACAATTTTCATTATTGTGACAACATAAACTTGTACGGGAAAGAATATCTACCGTGGCCTAGAAAACAAAATGTACGTTGAATGAATGAGTAAAGGTTTAGCATGTGAAAAAATAGATCGATGTTTCCTCCCCCACAAAGCAAGCGACAATTTTCGAAAGATTATAAGAATTAGTCAATTGAATTCTTGAACCTACTCGTGAGCTTTCCCTGAATTTACCTCTGGAAAATCGTCATCACTGATTTGTAGAACCACGAACCCATTTACTACCGCATCCTGACATTATTTATTATTATAATTATACTAGGGGTAGTCCCAGTCGGTTTCTGCACTGCGACCTTTTGGTCTATTGTGCTCCCCAGTATTGTCCACCCCTATAAGACAACTTCGCTCTCCATGCTTGTCACCTCCTCTGCCTCCTTCTCTTGGAGAGGAGTTTGAAGGTCACCCTGATGTAGTTCGCTTAGGTTCGATAGTTTCAACAGGGACTTTGGCACAATCAAATGTTGCTGTCCACCAAACGCCAATTGCTGGTTGTTACTACATCATTTTGGATTTCGATCCTTTTCACAATCTCCGGTTCTACTTGAGCCCCTGGGATCCAGGCGTATGCCCTCACTGGTTTTGTGACGTTCTTCCCTTCGACAAATCCTCGGTGGCGCCATTCGGTGAATTTTGAAAAAACCCAAAAGACAAAGCGTCTTCAAGAATCCAGGCTTTGATTCGCCCTGTCCCATCTTACGACAGAGTTCCCTCCATTTCTACATGGACAAAGGCCATTCTGTGGCCTGCTTCGCTAAAGCTTATGGTACCAGTTTTTGCCTTCGCTTGGGAGTGCTGCCATCGGACCGGTGTCGCTGTTGCGACCCAGTCTTTAGTGCAATCCCGGTAGGTGCGTTACCTGCTTACTTAGAGCTCCCAGGTTGACCAACTTGAGCAGACAGGAGGTCATGTTGCCTACATCCTCCTGGAGCTCGTCTGTACCAGGTACTCCAAGAGTAATTTGTTAATTAACTTCTCCATTTTTGCACTCCTGAACTGTAGAATTACGTTCTGCGTTATCCTTGAGTTAAGATGTGTGGTTATACTCGTAAAGTCCTGTATAGCAGAACGCCTAAACCTCAGATCTAGTGAACCTCCTGAAATTTCCACATCCAAAACCACGCTATCCTTAAAGGCTTGATGTCATGATTCCCATTTACCTTCCTGAAGATTTAATGTCTTAGAGATTTGCCATCTTGGAATCTTGATACTTTGGATGTCTCGAGAAACCTTGAAAACCTTAAAATCACAAAAACCTCTTTTTTTTAGTTTTTGCATTTTAGACCTTGGAAATTCGCAAATTCAAAACTTTGACAAAACTTTGGAAGTTCTTTTGAAATTTTGATCAATTTTTGAAATATTTATAAACCATTGGAGGCCCGGGGAGATCTTGAAAATATTGGAACATGTGGCCATTTTGTAAGTATTTGCAAATGAGAAACCCGCAACCCCGAAATCTTCCTTTGTGAACTTGTAGGCCATTGGCGCTCTTTGGAGACGAACTTAAAAGACATTGTAAGACTTTAAGAGATTTTTAGATCTTTTGCCAGATGTTCTTAGGCCCTCTGAGGTCTTTGCAGAAATCTTCGCAAATCATAAAAAATGGTTAAGAATCCTTGCATTCCTTTGGAAAATCCCGAAACTCAAACTCCGATATCCTGATATGTCAGAAATATCACCCACCCCTCCCCCCCCAGACCCCTCTGTAACACTTTTTTCCCAAACCGTTAAGGATTCAGGAGTCCCTTGATAGTTGCTGGAGAGGAATTTTCAGATCCTTTTCTGCACATTGCATCGAACGTAGAAACGGGGGGGGGGGGGGGGTCCGGGCATACTCCCCATCAATTGTAAAAGTCGCTAACCATTTCCGGAAAAGTTTTTTTAGAAGCGCCATGGTTCAAAACCTCGCAGCGAAGAAGTATTTGATCACGTTTTCCCTCAGTACTCTCTAATAGTGACGCTCTGGAAATTGTCGTGTGTACAAGGGGATATCCCCCCCCCCCCCAAGACCCCCTGGTAACACATTTTTTCCAAAACCATAAACTTTTCAAGAGTCCCTTGATAGTTTTTGCGAAAGAATTATCAGATCCTATTCTCCATCATTGCAAAGAACCTAGAACCGGGAGGCCTGGGTAGTATGGAACCCCCCGCCAACACAAATGTAAAAGTCGCTAACCATTTCCGGAAAAGTATTTCAGAAGCGCCATGGTTTAAAACCTCGCAGCGAAAATGTATTTGGTAACGTTTTCCCTCAGTACTCTCTAATGGCGACACTCTGGAAATGGAAATGAAATTGTTGTGTGTACAAGAGGATATCCCCCCCCTCCCTCCCAAGACCCCTGGTAACACATTTTTTCCAAAACCATAAAGTTGTCAAGAGTACCTTGATAGTTTTTGCGGATGGATTATCAAATCATATTTTGCACAATGCAAAGAACCTACAACCGAGGGGTCTGGGGAGTATGGAATAACCCCCCCCCCCTCCACAAATGTAAAAGTCGCTAACCATTTCCGGAAAAGTATTTTAGAAGCGCCATGGTTCAAAACCACGCAGCGAAGCAGTATTTGATAACGTGTTCCCTCAGTACTGACACTCCGGAAACTGTTGTGTGTACTTTGGGATATTCCATACCCCCCCCCCCCCAGGCTCCTGGTAACACATTTTTCCCAAAACCATAAAGTTTCAGGAGTCTCTTGACAGTTATTGCGGATGGATTATCAGATCCCTTTCCGCACATTGCAAAGAACGTTCAACCGGGGGGTCGGGGTGTATGGAATACCACCCAGCAAATGCAAAATTCGCTAACCCTTTCAGGAAAAGTATTTTGGAAGCGCCATGGTTCAAAAACTCGTAGCGAAGAAGTATAAAATTTTCCCTCAGTACTCTCTAATGGTGATGCTCTGGAAATGAAAATGAAATTGTTGTGTGTACAGGAGAATATTCCACCCACCCCCACCCCCTTCAAAAACTTTCAAACCTTAGTCTGGTTTTTATAAACCCTTGGACGTCGAATATTCCAACTGTTTCTTTTTTGTTTCCGGGTTTCCAAGGAAGCATTTTGACACTACAAGCTTAATATTTTCAGGATTCGAGGACTGGACTCTAAACCTCTCCTCTTTAGATCTTATGTTTTCCGATGCTTTTGAATCCCTAAATTATCTTAATGCTCTAGAAATCCTTCAATAACCCACTTAAGTTTAGAACCTTGAATAATCTGGAAGACTAAAAAAATTGGTAAATTCTAGGATCTTTGAGCTTTTTGGCACTATTCAAACGTTTGGGACCCTTGAGCCCCTTAAATTCCTCGATAAGTCTCAAATCTTGACGCAAGACTTTAAAACCCTTCTGTTGTGTTTGACCTTTATGAACATACTACAACTACCCTGTAGCCACTTTATGGTAGTTCAACCGAAGTTCAACGACTGACTGGCCGAATAAAAAAATCTAATTGATCAAACGTCAAGAATTATTCCATCAATCCAATTCATAAATAAATAGCAAACGATTTTAACCCACTCAGTAAAGAATAAACCAAATTACTGAATTGTATAAACATGGAAGGTTTTTATTTACTCTCCCGGTATTTATTTTAAGTTAGAATAATTATTTGCGTATACACTTGCTGTGTAAACAACCTTATTACACACATGGTTGCATTTTCCTCTCTGCTCGACAACGGAAATTCCTGTAGCGATTTGCTTTGAATACATTTCTAATTATTTAAAGTCGCTTTTAACCTCAACTTTCGCGACACTAGTATGATGTAACTAATCCGTACGGTACGACAATGATTACCTCACTATTAAGACGCCACAAATCTGTACGAAGTCATTGAACTACAAGAGAAAGGTTTGTAAACCTTAAGAGACAACATAAAACAAAGCAATTTGTGTACCGCCCGCTAGATTTCTACTTGTTTACAATTTCAACTTGGAGATCCGTATTTGACGTAGAACGAAGAAGTCCAATTATCGGAATTTATCGCTCGTGCAACTTCTAGTTTTCATAACCTCTGAGCATTTTCCCTTTGTAATTAGAGTCTGCCTTTTAAGGCAACACAAAGCTTGAAATTTGTAGATATTTTTGTCAAGAAATTCCTCAAACATCAGTTTTATAATGCCATGCTAGACATAAGAACGTGCTCTTGAAAGGATTAGATGCGTGCAAAATGTACGATTTTAAAAAGGTCTTTCCGGGTCTCGTATCGTATTGAAATGAACGTCAAAGTTGAAAATACGAAAGATCCCCCTTAAATCACGCTCGTACCTTTTGTAAAGTTCCCGAAATGTGAAAAGGGAACGCTG